AACTATGAAATAACACATATGGAATCATGTAGTAACCAAAAAAGTGTTAAACAAATGAGATTCTTCAAAGTAGCCACCCTTTGCCTTGATGACAGCTTTGCAGACTCTTGGCATTCTCTCAACCAGGTTCATGAGGTAGTCACCTGGAATGCATTTCAGTTAACAGGTGTGCCTTGTTAAAAGTTAATTTGTGGGATTTATTTCCTTCTTAATGCATTTGAGCCAATCAGTTGTGTTGTGACAAGGTAGGGGTGGTATACAGAAGATAGCCCTATTTGGTAAAAGACCAAGTCGCTATTATGGCAAGCACCACTGAAATAAGCAAAGAGAAACAACAGTCCATCATTACTTAATCCGCAAAATTTCAATAACTTCAAGTGCAGTTGCAAAAACCATCAAGCCCTATGATGAAACTGGCTCTCATGAGGACCGCCACAGGAAAGGAAGACCCAGAGTTACCTCTTCTGCAGAGGATAAGTTCATTAGAGTTAACTGCACCTCAGATTGCAGCCCAAATAAATGCTTCACAGAGTTCAAGTAACAGACACATCTCAACATCAACTGTTCAGAAGACACTGTGTGAATCAGGCATTCATGGTCGAATTGCTGAAAAGAAACCACTACTAAAGGACACCAATAAAAATAAGAGACTTGCTTGGACCAAGAAACACGAGAAATTGACATTAGACCGGTGGAAATCTGTCCTTTGGTCTGATGAGTCAAAATTTGAGATTTTTGGTTCCATACACCGTGTTTTTGTGAGACGCAGAGTAGGTGAATGGATGATCTCCGCATGTGTGGTTCCCACCGTGAAGCATGGAGGAGGAGGTGTGATGGTGTGGGGGTGCTTGCTGGTGACACTGTCTGTGATTCATTTAGAATTCAAGGCTACCATAGCATTCTGCAGCGATACACCATCCCATCTGGTTTGGGCTTAGTGGGACTATCAATTGTTTTTCAACAGGACAATGACCCAATACACCTCCAGGCTGTATAAGGGCTATTTTACCAAGAATGAGAGTGATGGACTGCTGCATCAGATGACCTGGCCTACACAATCCCCCAACCTCAACCCAATTGAGATGCTTTGGGATGAGTCGGACTGCAGAGTGAAGGAAAAACAGCCAACAAGTGCTCAGCATTTGTGGAAACTCCTTCAAGACTGTTGGAAAAGCATTCCAGCGGAAGCTGGTTGAGAGAATGCCAAGAGTGTGCAAAGCTGTCATCAAGGCAAAGGGTGGCTATTTAAAGAATCTCAAATATTAAATATATTTTCATTTGTTTAACATGTTTTTGGTTACTACATGATTCTATATGTGTTATTTCATCGTTTTGATGTCTTCACTATTACTCTACAATGTAGAAAATAGTAAAAATAAAGAAAAACCCTTGAATGAGTAGGTGTTCTAAAACCTTTGACCGGTTAGTGTATATACACTGCTCAAAAAAATTAAGGGAACACTTAAACAACACAATGTAACTCCAAGTCAATCACACTTCTGTGAAATCAAACTGTCCACTTAGGAAGCAACACTGATTTACAATACATTTCACATGCTGTTCTGCAAATGGAATAGACAACAGGTGGAAATTATAGGCAATTAGCAAGACAACCCACAAAGAAGTGGTTCTGCAGGTGGTGACCACAGACCACTTCTCAGTTCCTATGCTTCCTGGCTGATGTTTTGGTCACTTTTGAATGCTGGCGGTGCTTTCACTCTAGTGGTAGCATGAGACGGAGTCTACAACCCACACAAGTGGCTCAGGTAGTGCAGCTCATCCAGGATGGCACATCAATGCGAGCTGTGACAAGAAGGTTTGCTGTGTCTGTCAGCGTAGTGTCCAGAGCATGGAGGCGCTACCAGGAGACAGGCCAGTACATCAGGAGACGTGGAGGAGGCCGTAGGAGGGCAACAACCCAGCAGTAGGACCGCTACCTCTGCCTTTGTGCAAGGAGGAGCAGGAGGAGCACTGCCAGAGCCCTGCAAAATGACCTCCAGCAGGCCACAAATGTGCATGTGTCTGCTCAAACGGTCAGAAACAGACTCCATGAGGGTGGTATGAGGGCCCGACGTCCACAGGTGGGGTTACAGCCCAACACCGTGCAAGACGTTTGGCATTTGCCAGAGAACAGCAAGATTGGCAAATTCGCCACTGGCGCCCTGTGCTCTTCACAGATGAAAGCAGGTTCACACTGAGCACATGTGACAGACGTGACAGAGTCTGGAGACGCCGTGGAGAATGTTTTGCTGCCTGCAACATCCTCCAGCACGACCAGTTTGGCGGTGGGTCAGTCATGGTGTGGGGTGGCATTTCTTTGGGGGGCCACACAGCCCTCCATGTGCTCGCCAGAGGTAGCCTGACTGCCATTAGGTACCGAGATGAGATCCTCAGACCCCTTGTGAGACCATATGCTGGTGCGGTTGGCCCTGGGTTCCTCCTAATGCAAGACAATGCTAGACCTCATGTGGCTGGAGTGTGTCAGCAGTTCCTGCAAGAGGAAGGCATTGATGCTATGGACTGGCCCGCCCGTTCCCCAGACCTGAATCCAATTGAGCACATCTGGGACATCATGTCTCGCTCCATCCACCAATGCCACGTTGCACCACAGACTGTCCAGGAGTTGGCGGATGCTTTAGTCCAGGTCTGGGAGGAGATCCCTCAGGAGACCATCCGCCACCTCATCAGGAGCATGCCCAGGCGTTGTAGGGAGGTCATACAGGCACGTGGAGGCCACACACACTACTGAGCCTCATTTTGACTTGTTTTAAGGACATTACATCAAAGTTGGATCAGCCTGTAGTGTGGTTTTCCACTTTAATTTTGAGGGTGACTCCAAATCCAGACCTCCATGGTTTGATACATTTGATTTCCATTGATTATTTTTGTGTGATTTTGTTGTCAGCACATTCAACTATGTAAAGACAAAAGTATTTAATAAGATTATTTCGTTCATTCAGATCTAGGATGTGTTGTTTAAGTGTTCCCTTTATTTTCTTGAGCAGTGTATATATATTCTTTTTATTTGATACTCAGTATAGTCATTAATATTTGACTTTACACTTTAATGTCAGTAGATGTAATCTCTTCTTACAGTAATTTTGTTGTCAGAGACACTGCAGAGATTCATGGGAGTTGTCGGAGGTGAACGTGTATTTAACTCTCCAGCTCCTGTAAGAAAGATAAACCATCTGAAGGGGAGAGAGTCTACCTCCATAGCAAACATGCTGGACGTGTAGAGGGAGAGAATTTGGGGAAAAGTTATTAAATGGCCTTTATCAACATTTGAAATCTGTCCCCCCCTACAGCAGGAAATGACACATGCTGTCAAATCCTCTGCTGTCAGTTTGAGGTTCAGCACATCAGATTATCTGGGTTAGTTTAAGCCTGTACAGGTTTTTTACTGCTGAAATGTAATTTAGAGATGTGTCGCCACGGTTACACCTTAGAGAGGGAGCCAGGGAGTTATCACATGTGTACCTCAGCAGAAGATAGAAAACAGCATTTCCTCAGGAGTGTGTTGGCGCTATCGCAATAAGCAAAAGGGAGATCTCTCTCTTGCCCTCTTCCTCTCTCACTCACTCATTCTCTCTCTCGCTCTCATTTACTCCTAGCAGTCAAAGTGGACCTCATTCAGTGGGTGACTTCAGTTAACGGGCAACACTTCTACGCCACTTCGAAGTTACATTTTCATAATAGGTTAGGAGAACTTACGCAGCTGGTTAGGATAATTAACGTAGCAGCTTAGGAGACGGAGGTTAAGGTTAGGAAAATGATTAGCGAAAATGCTCTCCTAACCTGCTATGAAAATCACTTTGTATCGAAGTGGCGTGAAAAGTCCCTTCAGTTCACAGGCCACGTAGAGTAGGGGACCTCTGCAGCAAGACGCACTTTTGTGATGCCACTCACATACTGTACTGTATGCCACACGACATAGAGAGACAAACCAAAGCTCAGGGAATCTCACAATTTCCATTGGTTTACATAGTAATAAAGAAAAAATATTTTGGACAATTTCACCCATCATTATGTGTTTTGAATATAAAAATAATCACATTGTTTTAAATAAAAAGGAATAATGGTGGAAGACAATACTGATTAAATTCTACTCCCAAAGCATCAATTTTGTCCTTAATTTAATAATTTATTGGTAAATCTCATAGGAATTGAACATCAAATGTCAACCTAACCCCCCCCCCCCCCACCCCCCAGCATTGCACATCATTCGTCTTCATTTAAACATTAAATAATCCCCTCTTTTAAAATATATTGCTCTGTATTGAGGACAAGATTATACTTTTTTTTCCTTTTTTTATGGAAGAACTCTTTCCCCCAAGATAATTCTTGTAGCAGAGGTAACTTCATTGTTCTGTTGGTGCAAATATTCCATTCAAACTCTACATGAACTGTGTTTGCATAGCACATTCAATTTGAATAAATATCCATTCAAAAGGGTGGTCTTTATCAAATCATTTTCCAATAATATTAATAAATATTGCATTTTCTCTGACAAATTGTACAAACTCTAAAGCTATTTTGTTGAGGAATCCTACACAAAGGCTGGAAAGCATATAACCACCTACAAATAATGTCTTTCATATTGCAATTACCCTGACAACTGGTACAAAGTGAAATCTGAAGCTATTTTGTGGAGGAGCCATACAAATATATAAAAGTGAAAGGAAATGAAACAGTATTAAACTGCATTTAAACAGTTAGAGATGTGTAAACAATAATCTGTAGAAATATACCATTTTTACATTTATAACCATACACAAACTATTTTCACCATCCCATATTAATGAGGTCTGGTCATTAATTTGGTAATTTGGTAATGTGTGTAATTTGGTCATGTGTGTTACATAATGTGTGTGACATACTGGAATGACAGTGTCCGCACACCCATTATTCTGTGTATACTCTACTTATACAGTTTAACCACTTAAACAGGTTCAGAAAACACAAATGCACACACACACACCCACAACCCATGTGGAGTCTCACTGTGGCTCGCCCAGGGGCCTGACTACAGGCCATGGCATGTCAGGTAAGGGCCCCTGAGGCTCCCCAGCTTCCCCAGCCTGACTGGGCCAGTTAAAGTCCACTTCGTTCCTCTTCAGGGCAGCCAGGTGCTTAATGTCCAGCGTGGTGAAGGTGGTGAACTGGACCTGGTTTCTCTTGCTGGTGGGGGAGTGGAGGGGATTGCTGCAGGTGGGCTTGGCTAGGAGGGTGGCTGAACGCTGGGCAATGGGGTCCAGGGTGGGGACCTGCTGGGAGCTGGTCCTCCTGCCCAGGGTGGCTGTCCTCTCTGGGATAGCACTGATACTCAGACTGCTCTCCAGGGCCCGGTGGCTATCTGTGGAGCATTGTCTCTGCAGGCTGCGGTGGGATTCCGTAGAGCGGTGGTTCTCCCGTTTGAGGATGGAGACCTGGGGACCTGTGGTGGTCCCCAGTGACACCCAGTCATTCCTCTGCTCCTTAGGGCTTTTGGGATCTGGGTTGCCCTGGACGGGGGTCTTGTGGCCCCGGAAGCAGAGGTTATAGGAGGTGCAGTTTAGCAGGAAGGCCAGGATGGCCACCACGGAGACTCCCACCAGGGCGACGATACCGATCTCCAGGTCTGACATGGATCTAAATGTCCTCACCAGGTCACTTTCCACCACCTGCGGTGGCTTGGACTGCTTGGGCTGCTCTTTCTGGGGTGGTGCCTCTGCTTTTGGCGTCTCTTTCTTCTGGTTGGGGTTTTCCACCAGGTTCCCCCAGTCTCTCCTCAGCCCCTGTCCTCTTCCCAGGGTTCTATCCCTGCCAGGTCTGCCAGTCACCAGAGGTTTGTCCGTGCCAAGTTTGCCCATGGTGGTGGTACTACTGTCAGTGTTGGTAGTGGTGCTGCTGATGGTAGAGATGCCACCTCCAGTCACTTCCTGAGCCCTGCTAGGTGATGTGGTGACATCAGTCATGGTGGTCTCCTGGAGGTCTGGCACAGTGCTCCTGAATGAGCGTCTGTCTTCGTCCCCCTCAGTTAGAACCCGTGGTGAGGTCACAACACGCTCAGGCTCCCATTGTGATGTCATGACTGGTTTGGGCTCCCGTGGTGATGTCACAACAGGCTTTCCCCCTGACTCTGAACCATCATTGCCAGAGTCAGCAACACCCCCACCAGTGCCCCCTCCATCCGGCCTGCTGCCCATCTGGAAAGTGACCCTGAGAAGCCCGTTGCCCACCACCAGCTTGCTCTTTCTCTTGGACTTCTGGCACTCCTCACAGATCCTCAGCTCAGCCTTCACCAGCGCCCCCTGACCCTCGCCCTCCGCCACCACAAACACTGACTGGGGGGTCCGGCGCACAGTCGCCACTCTCTCATCCCATGAAGTCACAGTCAGGGAGTAGACGCTGCGGTCGAAGAGGTCCAGAGGGGTCACTGAGCCGTCACTGAACTGGACCCAGCAGCTGACCAGGGCCTCCTAAAGAGAGACAACACAGAGACTGGATCAGGACAGGACAAGGGAAATTCTAAAGTAGTACACAATGCAATCATGAAATCAATATTCTCCCCAGGTTTTGTTCATCAATTTATTTCCAAATATTCCCTCTCATAAATAGATAATGTGATAATGCATAATAGTAGGTGGTAAAGCAGGAGCTGATCTGATTCTGTATCTTTCCAAATGATCCTCAAGCAACCCAATGGTTCACAATTCTACAGTTATTTAATTTCCTGCTTCAGTGTTTTGTCAGTTTGGTTGCCATTTTAGATAATCCCTCCTTTTGACGGTATCTAAGAACTGCCTCTGTTAATCTCTTTATAATTAGCTCGGAGGCTATTGTACCACACAACACAGTCCTATCAAATCATGGTGTGAAACTAAATTTAACCACAGGGGATCAATATCAATATCCAGTAGATGCATAATAAACACCGTTAACAATAGCCACCAGAGGGAGCAATGTAGATAATTTCCCCCACCACAAGTTCAGTCCAGTTACCATTGAACCAGAGAGCTGTTAGCTGATAAGAATGATTAGAGAAAGATGCCTGGCCCATATTCTGAGGGGAAATACATTATGCATAGCCCAGAATCTTACATTAACACAGCCAATCACAGAAACAAATGGGCATGTGTGCTAGCTCCGTTCTAATAGGTTGAGTACTGACTGGGTCAAGCTAGCAGTTCGCCAGGCCCCAAGGCAGCACAGGGCTGTCATAATGCTGGCTATGGAGTATGGACTACTGCCTAATGGTTTCCCCGCTCACAGTTTGGGAAGTGTTTTTGAATGGGCATGCTGCCCAGCTAATGTGTGAGCTGTTAAACTGTGTGCGTGCTCCCTGCCTGACGCACAGCATGGCCACTGTACCACAGGCCTGAGCTGTGGACGCCATTAACTCACACACACAGAAATCACAGGGACAAACCATATGCTGCTAGACCACCAGGTTACTGTTATTCACTGTGAAATTGATCATTTTCTTGCCTAATATCTGTGAAGGGCTTTGAGGGTACAGTTTTTCTAGTATTGCTAGTCATCTAGTAGTCCCCCAGCTTCTGAATGGCACATTGTGTTGGGGCTTGTTCTTTGGAACAAGTACTATATTGGAAGTACTATATTTTGCATAATAGGTTTAATACAGGTTTGATGTTACAGCTAGTTACCTGTTTGGGTTTCTGCATGACTTCCTGTGTGATTGTCGTGGCGACGATGGCCCTGTTGCTCCCTGGGCTGAGCTGGAGGGACAGAGAGAGGCCAGAGACCAGCTGCACTCCCAGCTCTGTCACGCTCACTTTGTCATCCAGAACCCTGACCATCCGCTCAGCCAGGATCGAGTCAGACAGAGGAGACATCACCTGCAACATCATACACACACATTAGTGTACACACAGACACATACAGTGCCTTCAGAAAGTATTCACACCCCTTGACTTTTTCCACATTTTGTTGCGTTACAAAGTGGGATTAAATTAGGCCACTGAGGAAAATTCAATGTCGTCTTGGTAAGCAACGGCAGTGTATATTCGGCCTTGTGTTTTAGGTTATTGTCCTGCTGAAAGGTGAATTTGTCTCCCAGTGTCTGTTCGAAAGCAGACTGAACCAGATTTTCCTCTAGGATTTTGCATGTGCTTAGCCCTATTCCGTATTTATTTTTTTCATCCTAAAAAACTCCCTAGTCCTTGCATACCCATAACATCATGCAGCCACCACCCTGCTTGAAAATATGAAGAGTGGTACTCAGTGACGTGTTGTATTTCCTCCAAACATAACACTTTGTATTCAGGACATAAAGTTGCCACATTTTTTGCAGTTTTACTTTAGTGCCTTATTGCAAACAGGATGCATGTTTTGGAATATTTGTATTCTGTACAGGCTTCCTTCTTTTCACTCTGTCATTTAGGTTAGTATTGTGGAGTAACTACAATGTTGTTGATCCATCCTCAGTTTTCTCCTATCACAGCCATTGGCCTCATGGTGAAATCCCTGAGTGGTTTCCTTCCTCTCTGGCAACTGAGTTAGGAAGGACGTCTCTGTTTTTGTAGTGACTGGTTGTACTGATACACCATCCAAAGTGTAATTAATAACTTCACCATTGAGGGACCTTACAGATAATTGTATGTGTTCGGTACAGAGATGAGGTAGTCATTCAAAATTAATGTTAAACACTATTATTGTCCATGCAACTTATTATGTGACTTGTAAGCACATTTTTACTCCTGAACTTATTTAGGCTTGCCATAACAAAGGGTTTGAATACTTATTGACTCAAGACATTTCAGCTTTACATTTTTAATAAAATGTGTAATAATTTCTAAAAACATAATTCCACTCTGACATTATGGGTTACTGTGTGTAGGCCAGTGACACAAAATCTCAATTTAATCCATTTTAAATGCAGGCTGTAACACAACAGAATGTGGAAAAAGTCAAGGGTGTGAATACCTTCTGAAGGAACTGTATGTATACATGAGCACACATGCACACACGCACACACACATACATACAAACACACACACACACACATTACCTGTAGAGTCGTGGTCCCTGCAGCACGTCCCTGCAGTACAGTCCCAGCCTGTAGTCTGGCTATAGCTGGGTCTCTCACCCTGAAAGTGTAACGCACCAGCCTGGTGACATCCACCTGCCAGTCTGTCCCCAGGAAACTCTCCAGAGACCCACCCACTTTCCCTGCCATGGGGTCTGGAGCTGGGTCCGACGGCTCGGCCACAAAGGGTGTGAGCACCCTGACCACAGTGTGTTGGTACTGTAGCATGCAGCCCCTGCCCTTCCTCATCTCCTCCTCTTCCTCACTGTCCCAGCTGGTCCTGAGACACACACACAGAGACTCAGGGGATGTATGGCTATGACCAGAGTAATGGAAGACTAAACATTTGATAAATTGTGTAAACCGGGTAGTTTGGATACTGGACGCTAATTGGCTAAACCTAACCACCCACCCGTGTGTTTATGAGACGATATTGGCCATACACCACAACCCCTCGGGCCTTATTACTTAAGTATACTCAAACCAAGAACTGACAGATGTATGCAAAATGGGCTTGGGTAGCTGGCTCTGACACCACCCATAACCATGTCTTCACTGTCTTCACTAGCAATTTCAACATGTCCCTGACTGAGTCTGTAATACCAACATGTTTCAAGCAGACCACCATAGTAAAGTGCCCAAGAACACTAATATAACCTGCCTAAATGACTACCGACCCATAGCACTCACGTCTGCAGCCATGAAGTGCTTTGAAAGGCTGGTCATGGCTCACATCAACACAATTATCCCAGAAACCCTAGACCCACTCCAATTTCCATACCGCCCCAACAGATCCACAGATGATGCAATCTCTATTGCGCTCCACACTGCCCTTTCCCACCTGGACAAGAGGAACACCTATGTGACAATGCTATTCATTGACTACAGCTCAGTGTTCAACACCATAGTGCACTCAAAGCTCATCACTAAGCTAAGGACCCTGGGACTAAACACCTCCCTCTGCAACTGGATCCTGGACTTCCTGACGGGCCACCCCCAGGTGGTAAAGGTAGGTAACAACACATTTGCCACGCTGATCCTCAACACGGGGGCCCCTCAGGGGTGCGTGCTCAGTCCCCTCCTGTACTCCCTGTTCACCTATGACTGCATGGCCAGGCACGACTCCAACACCATCATTAAGTTTGCCGACGACACAACAGTGGTAGGCCTGATCACCGACAACGATGAGACAGCCTATAGGGAGGAGGTCAGAGACCTGGCCGTGTGGTGCCAGGATAACAACCTCTCCCTCAACGTGATCAAGACAAAGGAGATGATTGTGGACTACAGGAAGAAAAAGAGGACTGAGTACGCCCAATTCTCATCCACGGGGCTGTAGTGGAACAGGTTGGGAGATTCAAGTTCCTTGGTGTCCACATCACCAACAAACTATCATGGTCCAAACACACCAAGACAGTCGTGAAGAGGGCACGACAAAGTCTATTCCCCCTCAGGAGACTGGAAAGATTTGGGATGGGTCCCCAGATCCTATATCCTATACAGCTGCACCATCGAGAGCATCTTGATTGGTTGCATCACCGCCTGGTATGGCAACTCTTCGGCCTCCGACCGCAAGGCACTACAGAGGATAGTGTGTATGGCCCGTACATCACTGGGGCCAAGCTTCCTGCCATCCAGGACCTCTATAACAGGCGGTGTCAGAGAAAGGCCCTAAAAATTGTCAAAGACTCCAGCCACCCTAGTCATAGACTGCTCTCTCTGCTACCGCACGGCAAAAAGTCTAGGTCCAAAAGGCTTCTTAACAGCTTCTACCCCAAGCCATAAGACTCCTGAACAGCTAACCATGGCTACCCAGACTATTTGCATTGACCCCCCCACCCCACCCCACCCCACCCCCTCTTTTACGCTGCTGCTACTCTGTTTATTATCTATGCATAGTCACTTTAACTCTACCCACGTACATATTACCTCAATTACTTCGACTTACCGGTGCCCCAGGACATTGACTGTGTACCGGTACCCTCTGTATATAGCCTCGGTACTGTTATTTAATTTTACTGCTGCTATTTACTTATTTTTTACTTATCTATTCTTTACTTAACACTTTATTTTCTTAAAACTGCATTGTTGGTTAAGGGCTTGTAAGTAAGCATTTCACTGTAAGGTCTACACGTGTTGTATTCGGCGCATGTGGAAAATACAATTTGATTTGATTTGATTTGTTAAGATACCTCCAGAGAAAAACAACAACAACACCCTACACAACCATCCATCCACGTCATTGTATTGAGGCAGCGGTACGACACTCAGTACTGAGAGAGACCCTCCTGACATGTTTCCTGAGAGCAAGTCTTTACAGTCCATTCTACAGGGCATAACACACTTATGTAACTAACAGTGATGTGATTATAGATTATTATTATAGAGTCTCTCTGTAATATGCATTAGGCAAGGCTGGTAAGCTGGGGGATTTCCATTCCATACTTGCATTTATGAATTCATCTATCTGTCTGAACAGCACAGCTCTAGTTTATGAGGCTGGTAAACAAACACTATTTTGTGGTTTAGGGCTTTAGGATTCTGGGTATAGCTCTGTGAAATCCTACTTACATTTAATGTTCTTTGATTTCATCCTTTGTCACTATGCAGTGGGCCACTACTAGTAGCTCTTTTGATGATTTGTTATGAAGTTTGTGCAACTCACAATTGATCAAATCCTTCTTTAAAATGTAATGAATGTCAAACTCCAGCCTTGCTGCAGCAGGTCTTGGCATCAGCTCTCCCAATTTGTACTATGGCTTTAAAATAGCATTGACCAAGACGAAGGCTCTGTCAACATCGGTATGTGGAGAGTTGTTATTGTAAACAAAACCATACCTCTTGTTGCCAGCGGCCACCGGGACCCTCCAGCCCTTGATCTGGCTGAGCTCTGGGTCAGCCACGTCGATGAGCAGGGGGAGGCGTGGCATCCACACACTCATCTCCAGCTGGGCACTGAGGTAGCTGTAGGTGAAGTTGAGCACCATCCTCATCCTCCCTCTCGTCTCCTTCCCATTCACAAACACATAGTCACAACGATCCGACACCTGTGGAGTTATTTAAGTGGTTAGCAAGCTGAAGTCTACAAGACCATGCTATCTATCAAATATGAGGTCCCTGTGTCCATAGTCACATAGGCTTATCCATTTATGTGCTGAGAGAGAGAAGAGAGAAAGAGCATAATGTGGAACCATCAAATAAAATAAAATAAAACTGTATTTGTCACTTACAAGCCCTTAACCAACAATGCAGTTTTAAGAAAAATAAGTGTTAAGAAAGTATTTACTAAAATAAACTGAAGTTAACAATAAGTTAAACAATTTTTGGAGAAAAAAAAATATTAGAAAAAAATAAAATAATTAAAGAGCAACAATAAAATAACAGTAACGAGGCTATATACAGTAGGGAAAAAAAGTATTTAGTCAGCCACCAATTGTGCAAGTTCTCCCACTTAAAAAGATGAGAGAGGCCTGTAATTTTCATCATAGGTACATGTCAACTATGACAGACAAAATGAGAAAAAAATATCCAGAAAATCACATTGTAGGATTTTTTATGAATTTATTTGCAAATTATGGTGGAAAATAAGTATTTGGTCAATAACAAAAGTTTCTCAATACTTTGTTATATACCCTTTGTTGGCAATGACACAGGTCAAACGTTTTCTGTAAGTCTTCACGAGGTTTTCACACACTGTTGCTGGTATTTTGGCCCATTCCTCCATGCAGATCTCCTCAAGAGCAGTGATGTTTTGGGGCTGTCGCTGGGCAACACAGACTTTCAACTCCCTCCAAAGATTTTCTATGGGGTTGAGATCTGGAGACTGGCTAGGCCACTCCAGGACCTTGAAATGCTTCTTACGAAGCCACTCCTTCGTTGCCCGGGCGGTGTGTTTGGGATCATTGTCATAATGAAAGACCCAGCCACGTTTCATCTTCAATATCCTTTCTGATGGAAGGAGGTTTTCACTCAAAATCTCACGATACATGGCCCCATTCATTCTTTCCTTTACACGGATCAGTCGTCCTGGTCCCTTTGCAGAAAAACAGCCCCAAAGCATGATGTTTCCACCCCCATGCTTCACAGTAGGTATGGTGTTCTTTGGATGCAACTCAGCATTCTTTGTCTTCCAAACACGACGAGTTGAGTTTTTACCAAAAAGTTATATTTTGGTTTCATCTGACCATATGACATTCTCCCAATCCTCTTCTGGATCATCCAAATGCACTCTAGCAAACTTCAGACGGGCCTGGACATGTACTGGCTTAAGCAGGGGGACACGTCTGGCACTGCAGGATTTGAGTCCCTGGCGGCGTAGTGTGTTACTGATGGTAGGCTTTGTTACTTTGGTCCCAGCTCTCTGCAGGTCATTCACTAGGTCCCCCCGTGTGGTTCTGGGATTTTTGCTCACCGTTCTTGTGATCATTTTGACCCCACGGGGTGAGATCTTGCGTGGAGCCCCAGATCGAGGGAGATTATCAGTGGTATTTTATGTCTTCCATTTCCTAATAATTGCTCCCACAGTTGATTTATTCAAACCAAGCTGCTTACCTATTGCAGATTCAGTCTTCCCAGCCTGGTGCAGGTCTACAATTTTGTTTCTGGTGTCCTTTGACAGCTCTTTGGTCTTGGCCATAGTGGAGTTTGGAGTGTGACTGTTTGAGGTTGTGGACAGGTGTCTTATATACTGATAACAAGTTCAAACAGGTGCCATTAATAAAGGAAACGAATGGAGGACAGAGGAGCCTCTTAAAGAAGAAGTTACAGGTCTGTGAGAGCCAGAAATCTTGCTTGTTTGTAGGTGACCAAATACTTATTTTCCACCATAATTTGCAAATCAATTCATTAAAAATCCAACAATGTGATTTTCTGGATTTCTTTTCCTCAATTTGTCTGTCATAGTTGACGTGTACCTATGATGAAAATTACAGGCCTCTCTCATCTTTTTAAGTGGGAGAACTTGTACAATTGGTGGCTGACTAAATACTTTTTCCCCCCCACTGTATATCCATCATGCCCTGCCTTTCAAATGTTTTTGAAAGCCAAGTTAACAAACAGATCACCGACTATTTCGAATCCCACCGCACCTTCTCCGCTATGCAATCCGGTTTCCGAGCTGGTCATGGGTGCACCTCAGCCACGCTCAAGGTCCTAAACGATATTATAACCGCGATCGATAATAGACAGTACTGTGCAGCCGTCTTCATCGACCTGGCCAAGGCTTTCGACTCTGTCAACCACTGCATTCTTATTGGCAGACTAAATAGCCTTTGTTTCTCAAATGACTGCCTCGCCTGGTTCACCAACTACTTCTCAGATAGAGTTCAATGTGTCAAATCGGAGGGCCTGTTGTCTGGACCTATGGCAGTCTCTATGGGGGTGCCACAGGGTTCAATTCTTGGGCAGACTCTTTTCTCTGTGTATATCAATGATGTCACTCTTGCTGCTGGTCACTCTCAGATCCACCTCTATGCAGACGACACCATTTTGTATACATCTGGCCCTTCATTGGACATTGTGTTAACAAACCTCCAAACGAGCTTCAATGCCATACAACACTCCTTCAGTAGCCTCCAACTGCTCTTAAACACTAGTAAAACTAAATGCATGCTCTTCAATCGAACGCTGCTGGCACCCGCCCACCCGACTAGAATCACTACTCTCGACGGGTCTGACCTAGAGTATGTGGACAACTACAAATACCTACGTGTCTGGTTAGACTGTAAACTCTCCTTCCAGACTCACATTAAGAATCTCCAATCCAAAGTTAAATCTAGAATCGGCTTCCTATTTCGCAACAAAGCCTCCTTCACTCATGCTGCCAAACATGCCCTCGTAAAACTGACTATCCTACCGATCCTTGACTTCGGCGATGTCATTTACACAATAGCTTCCAACACTCTACTCAGCAAATTGGATGTAGTCTATCATAGTGCCATCCGTTTTGTCACCAAAGCCCCATATACTACCCACCACTGTGACCTGTACGCTCTTGTTGGCTGGTCCTCACTACATATTCGTCGGCAAACCCACTGGCTCCAGGCCATCTATAAATCACTGCTAGGCAAATCCCCGCCTTATCTTAGCTCATTGGTCACCATAGCAACACCCACCCGTAGTATGCGCTCCAGCAGGTATATCTCACTGGTCATCCCCAAAGCCAACACCTCCTTTGGCCGCCATTTCCTTCCAGTTCTCTGCTGCCAATGACTGGAAGGAATTGCAAAAATCTCTGAAGCTGGAGACTCTTATCTCCCTCACTAACTTTAAGCATCAGTTGTCAGAGCACCTTACCGATCACTGCACCTGTAAACAGCCCATCTGAAATTAGCCCACCCAACTACCTCATCCCCATATTGTTATTTATTTTGCTAATTTGCACCCCAGTATCTCTATTTGCACATCATCTCTTGCACTTATATCTTTCCAGTGTTAATACTAATTGTAATTATTTTGCACTATAGCCTATTTATTGCCTTACCTCCATAACTTGCTACATTTGCACACACTGTATATATATTTTCTGTTGTATTTTTGACTTTATGTTTTGTTTTACCCCATATGTAACTCTGTGTTGTTGTTTTTAATCGCACTGCTTTGCTTTGTCTTGGCCAGGTCGCAATTGTAAGTGAGAACTTGTTCTCAACTGGCTTGCCTGATTAAAAAAAGGTGAAATAAAATTTAAAAAACAATCTCAAACCAGTCATACCACAGATTCTCAATTGGATTGAGGTCTGGGCTTTTACAAGGCCATTCCACGACATTTAAATGTTTCCCCTTAAACCACCCGAGTGTTGCTTTAGCAGTATGCTTAGGGTCATTGTCCTGCTGGAAGGTGAACCTCCGTCCCAGTCTCAAATCTCTGGAAGACTGAAACAGGTTTCCCTCAAGAATTTCCATGTATTTAGCGCCATCCATCATTCAATGAAAAACATCCCCACAGCATGATGCTGCCACCACCATGCTTCACTGTGGTGATGGTGTTCTCAGGGTGATGAGAGGTGTTGGGTTTGCGCCAGACATAGCATTTTCCTTGATGGCCAAAAAGCTCAATTTTAGTGTCATCTGACCAGAGTGCCTTCTTCCATATGTTTGGGGAGTCTCCCACATGGCATTTGGCGAACACCAAACGTGTTTGCTTATTTTTTTCTTTAAGCCATGGCTTTTTTTCTGGCCACTCTTCCGTAAAGCCCAGCTCTGTGGAGTATATGGCTTAAAGTGGTCCTATGGACAGATACTCCAATCTCAATGCAAATAGTCCGGGTAGCCATTTGATTAGCTGTTCAGGAGTCTTATGGCTTGGGGGTAGAAGCAGTTAAGAAGCATTTTGGACCTAGACTTGGCGCTCTGGTACCGCTTGCCATGCAGTAGCAGAGAGAACAGTCTATGACTAGGGTGGCATCATACTGTATCTGTGTTTATGTGTATAGAAATGTATCCATGCTCGGGGATCATCCTTTACCCTGACCCAGTGAGATGCTTTACTCTAAGAGGGGTCTCTGATCTGGAAGAGAGAGTGATATGAAAGAAACTGGATAAAGATCCACATTCTTCATGAGTCAGAAATACAAACCTACATTCCGGGGCTAACCTTGAAAAGACCTGCCCGGGTGAGTAACCTCAATGGAAAATGTTAGGCTATAATATAATTTCCTTGCTTGCTCTCTATCTATCTATTTCTCAATTTCGTCTCTCTCTCTCTCTCTCTCGCTCTCAAAGTCCCATTGCCTTGGCTCCACGAGATCCTCTTTTATACAACCTCTGCTCTAGTAATACTGATCACATGAAATCCACATGCAAGCTTTTTAGTATGGTTGTAGTATGGTCTCTGAATTATTCTGAATGTGATAGTCATAAGGAGGGTTGTTTTGTTATCTTGCAACATACGGAAACAGTGAACATTGAAACAGGGATTCCAATGCTGTACCTTCAGCACGTTTTCGTCAGTGGACTTGCAGTTGGTGTAGTTGGTGACATCAGTGACAGAGCCGTCAGCCTCCACAGCCAGAGTCCTGACTGGGACAGACACCTTCTTAGCAGTCAGAACAGCTGTGTTCAGCACGTCACTGTCCTACAGGGGGGCCAGACAGGACAGAGTGACCGTGTGAGGCAGGCAGATTATCACACAAATGCATTTTTAAAAATTGCATTTACATACACATGCACGCACGCATGCACACACACAATCACATGCACACGCACTTCCTTGTACTGTTTATTGTGTTTAACTGCTAAGTGTAACTTCTCAACATGAATAGACAAGTCAACGTTGATCTACGGCTGATAAAATCTCTCTAATAGCTCCATAACCTCTTTTCGAACATTGATTCAAAACAGTTTTCTGGCCGTGATACTCTCTAATAAAATGTCTTCCTAATCTAGGAGGTGTAGGGGTGGATACAGTGGCTGATGACTGTATGCCCTGGCCTGGTGTAGATTTAACTGCAGCACCAGACAGATGTTGCGGGGCAGCCTGTCAGCCGTTCTAAACTCAGCAGCACAGCACAAAAGCTGTTGACCGCGATTCAAAAAGGGCAAGTTCTGCCTCTGAAAGTTACCCAAACCTAAATTACTATTGGTACAAACCTACTGTACTGAAGTAATCCATATGGGATTTGTAGCACAAACACTGCTGTGAATGTGTCAAGTACTGACAAACATGTAACGGAAGTGTGCTTGATTCCGGTCAGATGGTATTAACGTCTTCTGACAATCCAGATCTGTACTTTGTACGTACTTAGGCAGACATTTTATAAAGCAATACGCATTGTGGCTTCATTACAAAGTTGGTTCATTCCTACCTATGGGAGCCGTTTGATCCTCTCAATGAATGTCAACTTCATTAACACTGACTGAGGGAGAGTGTGACCTGGGCCAGAACAGCCCTGATGTTATCAAAGCTAGAGGCCAAGAGAGCTGGCACTCAGCCGTACAACAATTAACACATTGACACCCTCCTGACATCCCCTCTCCAGGGCTCTCCCAATCATTTACACACACGCTTTATTGTTCCTTTATAGCATCCATAAAACATCAAACCCGATGAGAGAACAACAGAAGTAAATTGATGGAACACCCAGCCTACACTTAATTGCACATCCAGGGGAGTTTAATTCAACTCACAGTCAAGCTACGGGGAGAATACAGTGGTGGTGTTACTGTTAATGCAACTAAAGCTGTGCCATACAAACCGGCATACACAAACATGTGCACGCACACGGGTGCATTCACGTATACTAAGAAAATGCCACACGTGCACACACATAAAATGCCACACATGCACGCACACGAGCACACGTGCATGCACGCACACACACATACTCACACACACTCCTTACCATGACCAGTGGTGCCAGGCCCACGTACTCCCTCTGAGTGGTATAGATCCTCATGACGCCGACATCCTTGATGTTTCCTGTCTCAAAACGCCATGTGATCATCTGGCTCTCTGATTGTTGATCAGTCAACTCCTTGGTCTCAAAGTCAAGCTGCAATACCTCCAACAGACCCCTGACAATCCTGAAATAGAGTTACATTCACATCCTGCATCCTAATGATTTTCACAAAAGCATTCAATTCAATGTTTTACAGCTCATGAATGGACATGAATGCTGCAATCAACAAGATCCAACATGCACATTCAAATCAAGTTAAATGTTATCTGTTACATGCAGGTGTTGACCTTACAGTGAAATGCTTACTTACAAGTCCCCCAACAATGCAGTTTTAAGAAAAAAAATTGTTGAGTAAGAAATGGATTAGTAAAAAATTAAAAATAAAAAGCAAATAATTAAAGAGCAGCAGTAAAATAACTGTAGCGAGGCTATATACAGGGGGTACCAGTACAGAGTCAATGTGCGGGGACACAGGTTAGTCGAGGTAATTGAGGTAATATGTTAATGTAGATAGAGTTAAAGTGACTATGCATAGATTATAAACAGAAAGTGGTAGCAGCGTAAATGGGGGGTGGTTGGGGTGGGGGGGACAATGCAAATAGTCCAGGTAGCCATTTGATTAGATGTTCAGGAGTCTTATGGCTTGGGGGTAGAAGCTGTTAAGAAGCCTTTTGGACCTAGACTTGGCGCTCCGGTACCGCTTACCGTGCGGTAGCAGAAAGAACAGTCTATGACTAGGGTGGCTGAACTCTTTGACAATTTTTAGGGCCTTCCTCTGACACCGCCTGGTATAGAGGTCCTGGATGGCAGGAAGCTTGGCCCCAGTGATGTACTGGGCCATACGCACTACCCTCTGTAGTGCCTTGCGGTCGGAGGCCGAGCAGTTGCCATACCAGGCGGTGATGCAACCATTCAGGATGCTCTCGATGGTGCAGCTGTAGAACTTTTTGAGGATCTGAGGATCCATGCCAAATGTTTTCAGTCTCCTGAGGGGGAATAGGCTTTGTCGTGCCCTCTGCACGACTGTCTTGGTGTGTTTGGACCATGATAGTTTGTTGGTGATGTGGACACCAAGGAACTTGAAGCTTTCAACCTGTTCCACTAAAGCCCCGTCGATGAGAATGGGGGCGTGCTCAGTCCTCTTTTTTTTTCCTGTAGTCCAAAATCATCTCCTTTGTCTTGATCACATTGAGGGGAAGGTTGTTATCCTGGCACCACACGGCCAGGTCTCTGACCTCCTCCCTATAGGCTGTCTCATCGTTGTCGGTGATCAGGCCTACCACTGTTGTGTCGTCGGCAAACTTAATGATGGTGTTGGAGTCGTGCCTGGCCATGCAGTCATGGGTGAACAGGGAGTACAGGAGGGGACTGAGCCCGCACCCCTGAGGGGCCCCCGTGTTGAGGATCAGCGTGGCAAATGTGTTGTTACCTACCCTTACCAACTTGGGGCGGCCCGTCAGGAAGTCCAGGATCCAGTTGCAGAGGGAGGTGTATAGTCCCAGGGTCCTTAGCTTAGTGATGAGCTTTGAGGGCACTATGTTGTTGAACGCTGAGCTGTAGTCAATGAATAGCATTCTCACGTAGTTGTTCCTTTTATCCAGGTGGGAAAGGGCAGTGTGGAGTGCAATAGAGATTGCATCATCTGTGGATCTGTTGGGGCGGTATGCAAATTGGAGTGTGTCTAGGGTTTCTGGGATAATGGTGTTGATGAGAGCACTTCATGGCTACAGACGTGAGTGATACGGGTCTGTAGTCATTTAGGCAGGTTACCTTAGTGTTCTTGGGCACAGGGACTATGGTGGTCTGCTTAAAACATGTTGGTATTACAGACTCAGTCAGGGACAGGTTGAAAATGTCAGTGAAGTACACGTCCTGGTAATCCGTCTGGCCCTGCGGCCTTGTGAATATTGACCTGTTTAAAGATCTTACTCACAGTCGTCCGGAACAGCTGATGCTCTCATGCATGCTTCAGTGTTGCTTGCGTCGAAGCGAGCATAGAAGTAATTTAGCTCGTCTAGTAGGCTTGTGTCACTGGGCAGCTTGTGGCTATGCTTCCCTTTGTAGTCTGTAATAGTTTGCAAGCCCTGCCACATCCGACGCGCGTCGGAGCCGGTGTAGTACGATTCAATCTTAGTCCTGTATTGACGCTTTGCCTGTTTGATGGTTCATCGGAGGGCATAGTGGGATTTCTTATAAGCGTCCGGGTTAGAGTCCCGCTCCTTGAAAGCGGCAGCTCTTCCCTTTAGCTCAGTGCGGATGTTGTCTGTAATCCATGGCTTCTGGTTGGGGTAAGTATGTACGGTCACTGTGGGGACGACGTCATCGATGCACTTATTGATGAATCCAGTGACTGATGTGGTGTACTCCTCAATGCCTTCGGAAGAATCCCGGAACATATTCCAGTCTGTGCTAGCAAAACAGTCCTGTAGCTTAGCATCTGCTTCATCTGACCACTTCTTTATTGACCGAGTCACTGGTGCTTCCTGCTTTAGTTTTTGCTTGTATGCAGGAATCAGGAGGATAGAATTATGATCAGATTTGCCAAATGGAGGGCGAGGGAGAGCTTTGTACGTGTCTCTGTGTGTGGAGTAAATGTGGTCTAGAGTTGTTTAAACTCTGGTAGCACATTTAACATGATGGTAGAAATTAGGTAAAACGAATGTAAGTTTCCCTGCATTAAAGTCCCCAGCCACTAGGAGCGCCACTTCTGGATGAGCGTTTTCCTGTTTGCTTATGGCCTTATACAGCTCACTGAGTGTGGTCTTAGTGCCGGCATCGGTTTGATGTGGTAAATAGACAGCTACGAGTAATATAGATGAAAACTCTCTTGGTAAATAGTGTGGTCTACAGCTTATCATGATACTCTACCTCAGGCGAGCAAAACCGCAATACTTTCTTAGTATTAGATTTCGTGCACCAACTGTTGTTTACAAATAAACACAGACCGCCACCCCTTGTCTTACCGGAGGCGGCTGTTCTATCTTGCCGATGCAGCGTAAACCCCGCCAGCTGTACGTTATCCATGTTGTCGTTCAGCCACGACTTGGTGAAATATACGTTTTCCCGTTTGTAGGATATTTGTGATCGTAGCTCGTCTATTTTCTTTTCCAATGATTGCACATTGGCTAATAGGAGTGATGGTAGAGGCAGATTACCCACTCGCCGTCACATCCTTACAAGGCATCCCGACCTACGTCCCCGATATTTCTGTCTCTTTCTCCTGTGAATGACGGGGATTTGGGCCTTGTCGGATGTCTGAAGGAAATCCTTTGCGTCCGACTCGTTAATGAAAAAATATTTGTCCATTACGAGGTGAGTAATCACTGTCCTGATTTCCAAAAGCTATTTTCGGTCATAAGAGATGATGGCAGATGTAAGTGTTGACAGTCATAGTTTGGGTATCATAGTTGTCCATTCAGCTATTTTATTTAGAATTTTAGGACCCCTATAGGTATAAAATAATACATTTTAAATTACTACTATAGCCCATAGACATGTTTTGAATAACCCACTCATCAATGGCAAAATAGACATTCAAAAAATGTATCATAAGGAGTAAGGTTTTGAAGTGTCTGTCCTATCTAGGAAATATAAGAAATATATTTTAATTTGGACACATATTTAAGCCCTTTTTTTTGTTGGTACAAAACGACTTCCATACTTCACATACCAAGTTACCTTCAGACGAGTCCTGGAGAATACCATCATGTTCGTGAGAGTCTCATCTTTCCATAGAGTGACCATATTAGTTTGTAGGTTTTTGAGAGAAGACCGATTTTTGGGGGATGTCTCCTAGTCTACAATTTTGTACGTTTGCCCACTGACAAAGACATGATCAGTCTATCATTTTAATTGTAGGTTTATTGGAACAGTGAGAGACAGAATAACAACAACAAAATCCAGAACAACGCATGTCAAAAAAATTTATAAATTGATTTGCATTTTAATGAGGGAAATAAGTATTTGAAGATTTCTGGCTCCCAGGTGTCTTTTATACAGGTAACGAGCTGAGATTAGGAGCACACTCTTAAAGGGAGTGCTCCTAATCTCAGTTTGTTACCTGTATAAAAGACACCTGTCCACAGAAGCAATCAATCAATCAGATTCCAAAATCTCCACCATGGCCAAGACCAAAGAGCTCTCCAAGGATGTCAGGGACAAGATTGTAGACCTACACAAGCCTTAATGGGCTACAAGACCATCACCAAGCAGCTTGGTGAGAAGGTGATAACAGATGGTGTGATTATTCGCAAATGGAAGAAACACAAAAGAACTGTCAATCTCCCTCGGCCTGGGGCTCCATGCAAGATCTCACCTCGTGGACTTGCAATGATCATGAGAACGGTGAGGAATCAGCCCAGAACTACACGGGAGGATCTTGTCAATGATCTCAAGGCAGCTGGGACCATAGTCACCAAGAAAACAATTGGTAACACACTATGCCGTGAAGGACTGAAATCCTGCAGCGCCCGCAAGGTCCCCCTGCTCAAGAAAGCACATATACAGGGCCGTCTGAAGTTTGCCAATGAACATCTGAATGATTCAGAGGAGAACTGGGTGAAAGTGTTGTGGTCAGATGAGACCAAAATCGAGCTCTTTGGCATCAACTCAACTCGCCGTGTTTGGAGGAGGAGGAATGCTGCCTATGACCCCAAGAACACCATCCCCACCGTCAAACATGGAGGTGGAAACATTATGCTTTGGGGGTGTTTTTCTGCAAAGGGGACAGGACAACTTCACCGCATCAAAGGGATGATGGACGGGGCCATGTACCGTCAAATCTTGGGTGAGAACCTCCTTCCCTCAGCCAGGGCATCGAATATGGGTCGTGGATGGATATTCCAGCATGACAATGATCCAAACACACAGCCAAATCAACAAAGGAGTGGCTCAAGAAGAAGCACATTAAGGTCCTGGAGTGGCCTAGCCAGTCTCCAGACCTTAATCCCATAGAAAATCTGTGGAGGGAGCTAATGGTTCGAGTTGCCAAACGTCAGCCTCGAAACCTTAATAACTTGGAGAAGATCTGCAAAGATGAGTGGAACAAAATCCTCCTGAGATGTGTGCAAACCTGGTGGCCAACTACAAGAAACGTCTGACCTCTGTGATTGCCAACAAGGGTTTTTCCACCAAGTACTAAGTCATGTTTTGCAGAGGGGTCAAATACTTATTTCCCTCATTAAAATGCAAATCAATTTATAACCTTTTTTACATGCGTTTTTCTGGATTGTTTTGTTGTTATTCTGTCTCTCACTGTTCAAATAAACCTACCATTAAAATTATAGACTGATCATGTCTTTGTCTGTGGGCAAACGTACAAAATCAGCTTTCCATCGCAGATGCTGAAGGCTGACATGGGCGGATGCGGTGGTTTGAGACGCAGCCCATCAAACCTCCCCTGATATCTCTATCTTAAACAGATGGATTTTGATGGGTGCACGGGTGCGTCAATCGACTCTCAAGGATTTTAAAACCAGACAGGGCCTTGACAGCCTCTCTACAGCTCAGATTGGTTGGTGGGTGCGTGGGAGGGAGGGGGGAGGGGGGGGGGGACCTCTGTCCACCCGCCTGGGTGTTCACTGGTTATTCACAAGTTAATACCGCTGCTGGGACTTGGAATATCTGGGCCCCTAATCTTGCCCAGAACGCGCCAGCCAGTGCTTAAGCCCGGATAACGCACTGATGATTACTGATGATTACAGATAAGTGGGTCGGACGGGCGGCACGCTGAGCCGGGTTGGAGTGTGTGTGTGTGTGAGTGTTTGTCTGAGGGGGAGAGCAAGTGCTGGGAGGTTGCTGGGCAGAGGTTTGTTTTGCCATCTGGATCAGGTAGTGCTGTGATAGCAGCACACAATGTTCCATGTGGACAGCACATCATTGATGCTGTGACACATGATGCTGTGTGATGCTGTGTGATGCTGTCCTCTAAAGCCAACATGTCCAGTCCATCAATAAATACTGTAGATGTGCATCTGTTACCTGGCCCCTTACAATTTTTCATGTGTCCATGAGTAAAAACGAAGTGTCACCAACTTCTCAAAATGTTTTCAATCAAATACATACATGAATAATATAGCAACTCAAAACTATTGGCAGCAGTGACTTGTGTCCATCGCTTGGTTCATCGAACACAAATGCCTTTAATGACAAAATAACAGTTGACAAATGGACATGAGTTGTCACTAACAAGATGTGTCTGATATAAAGATGGGGGATTAGAAGATCACATAATGAAGAAATATTCTAAACCAGGGGTATTCAACTCTTACCCTACGAGGTCCTGAGCCTGCTGGTTTTCTGTTATACCTGAAAATGAATTGCACCCACCTGGTGTCCCAGGTCTAAATAAATAAGGCCCTGATTAGAGGGGAACAATGAAAAAATGCAGTGGAACGGGCTTTGAGGTCCAGAGTTGAGTTTGAGGGTTTTAAACTGTTCATATTAACCCAGTTGATCCCTCCCCAACTGTAGTAGACAGCAGGAATACTAATGTTCTTACTGATGTCATCATAATCTCAAAGAGTATTACAAACAACTGATTGGCATTGTCAACTTCTGTATGTTATTCCGTGTATTTACAGGGCTGGTTTCTTGGTCAAAGATTAGTCGTATAGTCTATTTCAATGAATATTCTTCATTGGGGAATGCTGTTTTGGTCAGCACTAGGCTTAATCTCTGTCCGGGAAACCGGTGCATATTGTGTAAGATTATAACTAGGGCCCAGAGTTTTTCCTGACCACATGGCCTCACCTGACCAGGGAAAACACCAGGCCCCATAACATATCTAATGTAAACCAGGGGAATTACTGCCTAAAGCAAATAACAGTGCCACATATTCTGTATCTGTTATAATAGTTCCCTAAAGAGGTATTTGAATAGTCCCTTTAGCCTATTTACAATGAGAGTGACTCATCACAATGTAACATAGATCTGCTTCATACAATAACAGGCTGTTGCACAGATGCCAGGACCACACCAACACGGCAACTGATGAAGTTAAATTGTTTTCCTCCTCAATCAAATCCTAGATTTGCAATCTCTTCCTTCTCAGAATCTGGAAATCTATAACAAACAACCTGTTTGTTTCGTCTACCCTTGTCTTTGGACAAGTGCTGTGCATCAACATTCTTACACTACTTATATCAGTAGTAACAGGACAGAGGAAGGCCATCTTAAAGATTTAAGAGAGCCTAAGTCAAGATGTTTGCAGAAAATGTAGGGCTATTAGAAACTTGGCAGTCACTCAAACGGTGTCACTATTGTAATGAATAAGATGTTCAGAACCATTTGAAGTTTCATTGTTTGGAATTCAGTAGAGGTTGGAAAGGAGCCTATCCCATTCTTGAACACACACCTTTTCCCGGTGTTGGTGGTCTTTCTCTGACACACGACAGAGATGGTGTTAGCGCCCCCTCTGCCAGACTCCAGGGCGATGTCCCATAAGGTTGAATCACTGGGCCTCGCTGTACTGAACGACATGCCCTTCCTCACGGTGGCTCTGGAACACACAATTACACAGTCACTGTAACACACACAGGTCAGTTGACATACACACATACTGTACAAACACAGGTTACTTGAGGTGATATCAACAGAACCTTCACGTATCTGTTTGAGTATTATTGACCCATGAGTATCTGCTGCAGGGGAGGCGAGGCTATCTAAGATCACCTGAGAACCTCAGATAATGATAGAAGCCTGAGATGCACTACATGACCAAAAGTATGTGGACACCTGCTCGTCGAACATCTCATTCCTTTATCATGGGTTTTTAATATGGAGTTGGTCCCCTCTTCGCTGCTGTAACAGCCTCCACTCTTCTGGGAAGGCTTTCCACTAGATGTTGGAACATTGCTGCGGGGACTTGCTTCCATTCAGCCACAAGAGCATTAGTGAGGTCCAAAACCTAATATTAAATAAAGGCAACCTAATTGAACAAATAACACAACAATTACATACTTCTTTCATAAACAAAGTTATGCAACACCCAATGTCTCTGTGTGAAAAACGAATTGCCCCTTACACTCAATAACTGGTTGTGCTGTCTTAAACTGCAATGACTCCAACCAAACGCTTCCTGTAGTTGTTGATCTGTCTCTCACATCGCTGTGGAGGAATTTTGGCCCACTCTTCCATGCAGAACTGCTTTAACTCAGTGACGTGTGGGTTTTCAAGCATGAACTGCTCGTTTAAAGTCCAGCCACAACATCTCAATTGGGATTAAGTCTGGATTTTGACTAGGCCATTCCAAAACTTCAAGCCTGTTGCTTTTTAGCCATTTTCATGTAGACTTAACTGTGTGTTTTGGATCATTGTCTTGCTGCATGACCGAGCTGCGCTTCAGCTTCAGCTCACAGACGGATGGCCTGACATTCTCCTGTAGCACTCACGTTGGTAGCCATGAAGTGCTTTGAAAGGCTGGTCATGGCTCACTTCAACACCATCATCCCGGAATCCCTTGACCCACTCCAATTCACATACCGCCTCAACAGATCCACAGATGACACAATCTTAATCGCACTCCACACTGCCCTTTCCCCACCTAAGCTAAGGACCCTGGGACTAAACACCTCCCTCTGCAACTGGATCCTGGACTTCCTGACGGTCCACCCCCAGGTGGTAAGGGTAGGCAATAACACATCTGCCACGTTGATCCTCAACACGGGGTCCCCTCAGGGGTGCGTGCTTAGTCCCCTCCTGTACTCCCTGTTCACCCATGACTGTGTGGCCAAGCACGACTCCAACACCATCATTAAGTTTGATGACGACACAACAGTGGTAGGCCTGATCACCGACAACGATGAGACCGCCTATAGGGAGGAGGTCAGAGACCTGGCCATGTGGTGCCAGGAGAACATCTTCTCCCTCAACATGAGCAAGACAAAGGAGCTGATCGTGGACTACAGGAAAAGGAGGTCCGAAGACGCCCCCATTCACATCGACAGGGCTGTAGTGGAGCGGGTCGAGAGTTTCAAGCTCCTTGTTGTCCACATCACCAACAAACTATCATACAGCTGCACCATCGAGAGCATCCTGACCGGTTGCATCACCGCCTGGTATGGCAACTGCTCGGCATCCGACCGTAAGGCGCTACAGAGGGTAGTGCGTACGGCCCAGTACATCACTGGGGCCAAGCTTCCTGCCATCCAGCACCTCTATACCAGGCGATGTCAGAGGAAGGCCCAAAAAATTGTCAAAGACTCCAGTCACCCAAGTCATAGACTTTTCTCTCTGCTACCGCACGGCAAGCAGTACTGGAGCACCAAGTCTAGGTCCAAAAGGCTCCTTAACAGCTTCTACCCCCAAGCCATAATCACAATTGATCAAATGGCCACCTGGATTGTTTTTACACTGCTGCTACTCACTGTTTATTATCTATGCATAGTCACTTTACCCCTACCTACATGTACAAATTACCTCAACTAACCTGTACCCCCACACATTGACTCTGTACCGGTACCCCCTATATATAGCCTCGTTATTTTATTGTGTTACTTTTTAATTTAATTTTTTACTTTAGTTATTTAGTAAATATTTTCTTAACTCTATTTATTGAACTGCATTGTTGGTTAAGGGCTTGTAAGTAAGCATTTCACAGTAAGGTCTGCACCTGTTGTATTCGGCGCATGTGACAAATAAAATTTGATTTGATTTGATTTGATAATTCTCTGATATAGAGCAGAATTCATGGTTCCTTATATTAAGGCAAGTCGTCCAGGTCCTGAGGCAGCAAAGCATCCTCAAACCATCACACTACCCCCACCACCATACTTGACCATTGGTATAAGGTTATACTTTGGACTCATCTGTCCATAGAACATTATTCCAAGAGTCTTGATGATCATCCAGGTGCTTCCAGGTGCTTTTTGGCAAACTTGAGTCAACTTTTGTGGACGAGATGTATCCCATTATGTCTGGCGAAAACCAAACACTGCATTCCACAGTAAGAACCTAGGGGAGGTTCAGGACCTGGACGTCGGCACTGTATGTGCATTGGGGGTGGCTACAAGGAGTACAAGGAGTCAAAGTAAGTCTTTAAGCTTGTGTATGCGTGTGAGCTATAACCTATATAACCTACATAAATGTATGTAAATCTGTCCACTACAGTATATACATTTGCAATACATGTTTAATGTAATGTAATACATGTAGTCATCTGTATGTTTCTCTTTGAGTGAGAACATAGCCTCCTGTAGCTCAGTTGGTAGAGCATGGCGCTTGCAACGCCAGGGTTGTGGGTTTGATTCCCATGGAGGGCCAGTATGAAAAATGTATGCACTCACTAACTGTAAGTCACTCTGGATAAGAGCGTCTGCTAACTGACTAAACATACACGCTTATTTAGATGGAGTGATTCTGGGCTGACTGAGTCTGTATCCCAAATGGCACCCTATTTCCTATATAGTGTAGTACTTTTGACCAGGCCCATTTGTCTCTGTCATTGTGTGTGTGTGTGTGTGTGTGTATTTCTAAATGGGGAAGTGCCTGCAACATTGTTTCCTAATCAGGCCCGTTGATTGTGTGGCCTAAGGAAGCACTAATCCCCTCTCCTTTTGGGTTTCTTCCAGCTGTGCAACATGTCCCTGGAGCTCTCTCCACTCTGCCTTAAGCTTTTTTTGACTCTATCCATAGGCCAGACAGCTTGTCTGTTCCTCCCAGCGAACATAAAGGCTTAGAGAGGGGACAGAACAGAACAGGGACATGTGAGACTTCAAGCGTGCGTGGATACCTAGTGATAGATTTTGAAGGCCGACCAGGGGCTGCCTGGAAGTTGAATTTAGTCAAATCCAACATAGCAATGTTTACGCAGTCAGTGCCTTTGTTACAAATCCCTACTTGTACACATTTATTATACTGAGAACCGGAGGCCACTACATGTGAGAGCAGACTAGTTAATAGAATACTTGTCTAAGTAAAGTAAAGTAAAATAATATGGAGTGGCACATCTTCCATCAGTGTATAAAGGTCGCTGATCTATCACTCTCATCTTTCTCAACAGGAATAAAATACCTTTCCTAGAAAATATGATTAAATCATGATTATTTGTCAGAACCCATCAGCATTAAAAGGTGACAGGCAAAGGTTTCCCTGCTTTTCCAAACCTTTCTTTATACAACAGCTAAATACATCATAAAATGATCTGCAATAATATTATGTTCAGGGTAGATTTTGTATCCTTGATATAACACTTAAATAGGTATGGCTACCTGTCAACATGCTCCTTTGGAATACTTGGAAATTGTCACTGCAGGGCATTGTGAAAATTCCATCATTTTGAAAAGGTTCAAAGTTATCTGATTTTAGTGCACAATTTCCCACATTTCTGAGCTCACATGCTCAATATTGTACTGTTGAACATAATCAGAACTCTATTTAACGTTTTACATTTGATCCAGCTATTTCAAAGTAGTTTTCATTTTTCACTTGTGTTGCCCTAGCTAGGTTTCGATCCAATTGGCGACAGATTTTCATGCAAATACTCTAGAATCTGCATAAAGGAAATATGCACATTTTCCCACCAGTGGTGTGTTTCCACCAAATTGACTTTTAGTGGATAGAAATCAGTGCATGGTGACGTAGTGCACACAAAATGTACTTACGTTTTCATGTCCCAAATAAAAATCTAAAGTTCAATATGCTTACATCGCATTTTCAACTCTACTTATGGTTTTGTCAAAAAAATTGTTGCGTTAAATAGCAAATGTGCCTACTCTGGTCTTGGCTAGTTCGCTCTAGCCAACAGCTCGCAGATACAGTGCTTTTAGGTTGTGCGGGTATAGTCTACATGATGAGATTATTATGGATAAGAGCATCGATCATCATGTCGCCAGAATAAGACCCTCGATATTTATTTGAAAGGAGCATCAAGATCACAGTGCACTTTCACCACCCTGTGAAGTTCATCATAACTTATTTCATCTGTAGCCTAATAAATTGCATGGTTTCCCAAGTCGTAGTGGGAGGACCACACACCATCATCGCGTTACTCCAAGTTTACTTTGATATGATGGTTATTATATCAATATTTGCGCATACATGATGATTATTATATCAATATTTGTGCATGAAGGAGTTTCCACTGCCATTTCTCGCATAATTAATTTTACAGACACAAAAATATTCCACCATGTCCAACGTACAAATTATCTGTCTGCATTTATAAAATTGTACCGAAACGTTCTGTTTCCATCACAGCTGTCATGATTTTCTTTTTTAACGGTATGACTTTACTCACATAAAAACTGTGGATGGAAACTTGGTTAGTGTGACAGTTGGTGGTCGTCAGATTTATGCTGCAGAATGAGAAGACAGATGCTGTTCTCCTTCTAGCTAACTATAATAAATCACTTGAAATGACACTACAGTTTACAGTGATCTTTATTTATGTACAGCTCAAAGTGGTAAGAGTATTTGTGATTGAGAAAATGCTTATCAAAGCAATTTCGCCAGGAGAGATCAGGATCATGGATGTTCTTGGCTAGCTAAGCCACGCTTGCGCTTAGCTAGCTATCCAGCTAGCTAACCTTGTGTTCACAATACAATTGTCAGAAAGGGTT